GAATAATAAAATCCAAACTTTGATGAGAAATGCTAAAGCAACTTTTTGAAATAGTTATTTGAGAAGCATCTGTTTCCTAAATGTCGTTTTATATGCATTTGCAAACTCTCCTTTATTCTTTTAGTAAAAAAAAAGTATATGATTCACTGTATGCTCTCTTTTACATGGGACATGAAAGAGACTAATATCTCTATATATCAGATGCCGAGCAAAATATAAATACCATACCATTCAATAACATCACTGTCGAAGCATTTGTGAATCATGTGCTTAGATTACTTGAATGGGTTTGAATGTAAAGCTAAGGTTCCACTTGCCATTTCTGACTCTGAAACCAGATTTAAGTCAGAGATTCTCTCCGGTTTGGCTGGGCCTAGGTACATTAACTATGAGAGCCAGACCTAAAATGTCCTTTGCACATATCTTACTGTTTTTTCATGGATAGTGATGATTTATGCTTCTCTTGTTCATTTGTTTAATATTATTATGCATTTGATAATAATAATAATAATAATAATAATAATAATAATAATAGTCATTTCCCCATTAGACTGGATACCCTGAAGTGGGACTGGGAAGTGTGGAACACTGGCTTAACCCCTATGATCCAGATGACATAACAATTACATCATGAAAATTTTTTGCTTAAGAAGCAGGAGACATGAACATGCTGTCATGGGAAAATCTGGCTGCGGACTGGGTAATGCAAATTTGCCATCATGAATGTTTCAGCTAAGGGGCTGGGTGACAGGAAAAACCAAGCCTCTTGGATGGTGATTAGACTCATTTAGTGTTTGGAAAGGGGCTTTTGCATTATTCCCATTGATAAATGAGTGTGGAATGTCATGTTATGGTTACCTGCTTATTTAAGAAAAAATTATGTTCTTGTTTTATATATGACTGAACAACTATTGTTTTAGGGATGCAATGAACCTCTCTAGAGTGTAAACTTCTCATTTCTTCCATAGTTAGAGGAGGTAAATAAATGTGAAGTAAAGGAGCACAAAATGAAACTTCAAAATAGAGCAAAAGGGAACAAACCAAAAATTTGTCAATGCTAATCAAATACATCAGACCAATTATCAAGACCTGAATATGAAAATATCATACTGAATAATTAATAAGACAAGTGAGAAGTTTTGGACATTACATAAAGAAATTCAAGAAAATATAACAGAGTATTACAATGAGTCTTACAAGATTACAAAATCCAATCATATATCCATGTATACATGTAGTAATGAATGGTATTACAAATTCAACACACTATACAGAAGTTGCAGGAACAGAATAAGAGCATTTAATTGCTTAAAAAACTGACTACGAGAATCTATACTGTTACATGCGCTTACCTTAACTCCTGGACAGTGAAATATTGCAGTGTATATCAATGACTTCAGCTTTTTGGGTTGTGTATTAGCAACCAGTGCCAGATACAGCCGCCACAGGAGAGGGCAGTTTCTACCTGGTGGTCGGCTGACTGCAGTTTCCAAAACATTTTCTAAACGATAACCACAACTCAAGGAGCCTGAGGAACAATTCTGAGTTAATAAAGTGAAATATTTTTTTCTTATTAAAGTATCTTAAAGAATGGGAAACCAAGCCACTTTAATGTATATCAAACTTTACATTCTATAAGATTATACTACAAGTATATGACAAACCATAGTTTAATGATACTGTACAGGGATATGAAAACAGAATAAATAAGCATTATCTGCAGTGTCTTTATCACCAATTCAATTAAAAATTCACTGGCGTCATTTGCAACCTTTAGATATTTTGACAGCACATAAACATGCTCAACTAGCTTCAAAATGGCACTGCAGGTAATGTCAAATATTTGACAAATAAAAATTATAAAAGAAGAGGAGAAAGTTTATATATATACATATATATATATATATATATATATATATATATATATATATATATATATATATATATATATATATATACACACACACACACACACACACACACACACATATATATATACACACATACATATACATATACATACATACACATACACATACAACATATACATATACATACAACATATACATATACATACATACTCATACACATACACACACACACACACACATACACATACACATACACACACACACACACACACACACAAATAAAAGAAAGATACATTCTAAAAATCTGCCACTAATACCAACCTTCCTCTGTATTGGCAATATGAGCAAGTGTTTTATGAAGGTGAGGGAGAAGCTTTGAGACCAAAGTCAAAATGGAAGGGATTTTCCTTGGATTAGTGTCTATTCCGCCCAGCAGGTCTCGCCAGTTCTGGAAATGAATTTTCTAGGTTACCTCTGGCTTGAAAAAAATATAACACCTATCATATTCTAGAATTGCAAACACATGACAGAGGGTACTAGAGGTAAGTCTATGGGTCCATACCTGGTTCTGAGCTAGTAGCACAAGGAAGTTTGGGTTCTCTGGAGCACTTTTTACAGCATCAGCAAGGAGTGGTCTTAGGACAGCAGGTGACATCTTCCCATCTCTGATGAGGTTATCCAGCTTCGAAGAAACATCTATCAACCAAAGATAATCTTCATAGAGAGCTTCAAGCATCTTTTTCCGATTTTTTTCTTGATTTGAAGTCAAGCTGGCCATTTTTACAGATTTTCGTTCACCAGGTAGAGTAATTTCTTCTAGTTTCATTTCCACAGGTCCCTTGAAGATGCCATTAATTTTATCAATAACTGTTTCAAATATCAAGCAGGCAGGTTTGAATCCAACAGTTAGCAACTGTATTATGCTAAGAAAGAAAATAACTTTACTTGCAAATAGCCTTTCTGTATCACTTTCCTTGCCTGGTTTGCATGTCTCAAATGCCGTGTTAGTGTGTGATTCTTGTATCTCAAAGAGCTTTCTTTTTGCCTTCAAGATGCTTCCACCTGGAGCTGAGACACCATTTCCTGCTGTGAATTTCCCATCATTGACCAAAGAGCAAAGAGAGTAGATTATATTGTTAATAAATTTGTTACTTCCTGTTTTGATTTCTCTATCCATCTGAAGTTTGATGTAAGCAGTAAATAAACTTACAATAGTAGTAAAATTTGGCTTTGAAATGTCCAGTGCATTACCTGTGGCTGTTCCAGCTGTAAGTGCAATAACATATACATTTTCTGCATCATCAAAGTGCTCCATAATTTCTTCTAGTTTAGCATATTCCTCATATATCACAAGAGAGGATCTATACTCTTCTGATTTCACAAGCTTTTTCACTTGCTTCTTTATATCTTTTCCAAACTGCCTGAGCTTTTCTCTCTCCTTGATATTCCTCTTCAAAGCTGAATAGCGCAGCCCGAGTATTCTTATATATAAAAGTATTAGATTGGTTTTCTGTGGTTCTGGAAACAAATTAGATGCTTGTAATACAGCTTGACATGCAAACCTATAGTAATCTTGACATAGCATTGTTCCTAATGATGGTCCAATGGCAGAGAAATTTAGAAATTCGCCAGCCTTTACGTTCTTTTCAAACTGTAAACAAGTGCCAAACAAATGGATATCAAGTAGACTTTCAAGAGTGAGAGGCTGAAATATATCATTGACCTCACTATTTTCATTTTTATTTTTTGCTGTGTCTCTCTCCTGAGCTGATGATACAAACTGGCCTATATTTGGCACTCCAATAAATTTGAAAAACTGCAGTATCATGTAAAAATGATCTCTTGGGTCTTCTAGGTAAAAAATATGAGGTTCCAAATCTTCAAATGCAACCATTCTTTCTGGGTCTTCACACTCTTCTGGGTCGTCTTCCCATGACAACCAATGTCGTCGCTCCCTTGAGGTTTCTAGCATTAACCACAGTCTTGAGGTGCTCCCACCTTCTGCTAATAATTCATCCTCTTCATCTTGTGTTCCTCCTATGTTAGGAAAGAAACAATCAAAAGCTAGAGTACTAATGAAGACTCAAATAACAGGCAGCTGATGCTTGTTCCTGATGAATTTAGTAATAGTTAAACATTTCACTGCATTGATCAGCATACTTCTTAGGCAATAATAATAAACAAATGAATACACAAAACACAGTGACTGTTCAACATTATGATTAGTGAGTACTACATACTGAGAGATTATTCTTGGTAAATGTAAGTTGTCTTAGTACTAAGCGCTAACAGTTCCTGTTAATATAGATGCACTTTTGCTTACCTAGAATAACTTCCGGAAATTCTACTTGCTGCTTCTGCTCCACAACTTGTGCCCATCCAGAAGCTCTTTCTTCCCCAAATCTGTGGATATAGTATATGATTTCCAGTTACTCATACATTACTAAAACTAACTGATTATGAATTGTGCTGTGTTTACAATATGCCAACTATAACTGAACAAACAAACAAACAAAAAAATATACCTTGGAGCTCTTGAATCCCAAAAAGGCTCAAAAAAGGCCAGTCTTGCCTCTAATGTCATGTTCTTAACTCTTGCATGAGCGGGGGCAAACAAGTTAAACTCTATAAGTGCCTGGAACAGAGCAATTGATCTTTCCATAAACCCAGCTTGCCGCCAAACATGTGCCAATTGCACAGCCACATCTACCATGCACTTTCCTATGTTAGGTGGTGCTGCATGTGTTAAAAATGTTCCATTTTGTATTTGCTGTAACCTTTCTGTACACTTTGCAAATGTTTTGACAACTGATGATAAATTAAATGATGTAAAATGAGTTTGTGAGAATGATAAGTACTGATGCCAAACTTTAATCTTGTTTGGGAAATTAAACAAGAAAGTACCCCATTCATTCTTCAATTTTTTATCATCCCAGATATGCTGTCCAATGTCAAGGCGTTCAAACTGCAACTCAGTGGATTTAATATTCTTTTTTATGGCAGAGTCCAAAATTGAAATTTTCCTCTCAGCTAATGCTTTCTGATTCATTTTCTTCTTCTTCTCATTTTTTTCACTTGCGTCCTCTATGCGAAACAAATAAACATGAGCCTTGTCCTGGAAATGTACAAATTCTAGCCATAGAGATATATTAGTAGGTTCTTTGCCCAGTCTTTCATTAAATGCTTTAGCCTGACTCTGCCAGTACTCATATTCTGCATCTTGGGTTGATGTATTTTCTTGATCTGGACCACCTATTCCAAGCATGTACTCTTGTGTTTTACTGTCATATATCCCTAAAGGATCCACATGTGATGGTTGGGTTTCTTTCTTTACGAGATTTTCTTCTTCATAGGTAAGTTGAACTGGTATATAACCAGCATCCTTGTCTTCCTCATTTTTGCTTGTTGGTATCCGTTTGATAAATGTACTATCTGCATATAATGATGATTGCACACTTTTCTTGAAGTATCTGAGAGCTTTCTTATTTGGCCTCCCAATATTTTGGTCTAAATCTCCAAGTACACCTCTTATTTTCATCTTATAACTGCAAAAAGAGGGAATCTTTATTTCATATCATCTAAAATATTAAATTTTTATGAGCTTTCCATCTAGCCAAATAATTACATGCTTAAAATCAATACATGAACAGTATGTTTTCAAAGTATGTATTTGTAATCATGTAAGAAAACTAGAAACTTGAACACTGACAGAAACAGTGTAGCTAAAGCATTACCTGGCCAGCTGCGAATAATGTGTTGTGGTAAATGTCTTGTTACCAGTTTCTCCTTGTACGTTGATGTAGAATGCCTCTTCAGCTCTGACTAAGCCTTTCAAGTCATCTAGGAATACACTCTTATTCCCAGATAACAATTTCTCACGTCTGTATGACAAAATATTATCCATTGGAATTTAAAAAATAATCATTGGATAAAATATTAAAATAAATATTTAATTCTGTAAATAATTTCTATTAAGTAACTAATATTTTCTAATTGATACCTTCATGATATTTTATATCTATTAAAAAATTATGCTTGTGACTAAAATAAAGTAAAACTAAACAACATGCAATATGCATACATATGCACACACATAAAGCACACACACACATACACACACACACACTCTCTCTCTCTCTCTCTCTCTCTCTCTCTCTCTCTCTCTCTCTCTCTCTCTCTCTCTCTCTCTCTCTCTCTCTCTCTCTCTCTCTCTCTCACAATCTACTTACAATACAGCACCTCCTCCTTTAGAAGTTTCTTCCTCTTTCTTGTTTGTCCTCTCTCTAGAAACTGATCTTGTTCTGCTTCGTCTGCCCCTTGACCTTGTTTGACAAGTATAAGAATATCTTAAAATTGATGTATTGCAGCTAATGATAATAATAATAATAATAATAATAATAATAATAAATAATAATATTAATAACCCCCCCAAAAAAAAACACACACACAGGGCTGTGCATATGGGAGACATTATAAGAATGTCAACCCCAATTTTGGAAGAATTTGAAAATTATATCCAGTCTATTGTATGTTATTCAATATTATTTTAAAAGATTTGCAGAGGTGGAAAAAAATTGAAGAATGAGGGCGGGAGGAAGATGGGGTTGGATGGAGAGAGGTAGTACTGTTGGGAGGAGGACAAGAAGGACAAAAAGGATGAATAGCAGTAATATGGGGGGGGGGTAATTAATGAAGAAGACTGTGCAGTAGGAGATGGAGGGAGGATTTTGGGAGAGAGGGTATATTCTGAAGGTTGAGGAATGACCTAGGTGGATGATTCAGAATGGATAGAGTTGATTAAAGGAGAGGCTAGGGTTGGGAATCCAATGAAATCAAGTTTAGATAGGCTAGTTGATGATATATATATATGTTAATGCCCCTAATATGGGTAAAAAATCTTCATTATTGTCCATGCTGAGCCTGAAATAAATGGAGAGAGGAAACTGTCTACCCCTTAGGGTGTCCAAGAAGGGTAAGGACTAGACAATTAACAAAGGGAATACTGTGCCTATGGCTCCTGGACACCATTCATGACTGACACAAAGCAAGCCTTTCATCCTTTCAGCATGGCTCTCAGAAGAAGGGGATGATGAAGAAGATAAGGAAAGGGGGAGAAGAAAAGACCATGGAAAATTAGTTGAAGCAAGGATTGAGGTACAAGGTATGAGTAATCCCTACATTGGCCCCCAAGTCTCTATCTTCTAAGCCCCCCCCTGACTTGAGCAAGAGATTAGGGGGGGGTCTTAGACTTTAAATGTTGCATGACTGTATGTAATTCTTACCTCCTCCTATCCCTTGATTGAGACCGATTTCTCCTACTTGAATTTCTATTTCTAGATCTTGACCTTTTCCTGTTTCTGGATCTAGATCTGTAACTCCTTCTATCCTTTGATCTTGCCTCCCAGCTTCTTGATCTCGATCTCGATCTGAATTTTCTCTTTCTCGACAACCGATCCGTTGATCTTGATTTAGATCTCCTTTTCCTTCTTTCTCGAGGCTTTGACTTAGACCTGCTACTTCTTGATCTAGAACGAGACCTTGATCTTGATTTAGAACTATATCTTGAATGTGATCTATATCTACTTTCAGACACTTTCCCACGAGAACGAGACCTGGAATTTCTACGTCT